AGAAATATAGCCTCACACCTACAGCCATCTGGTCTTTGACAAAATCAACAAAAACAAGCAATGGGGAAATGATGCCTTGTTCAATTAATGGTGCTGGGATAACTGGTTAGCCATTTGCAGAAGATTGAGACTGGATCTTTTCTTTACACCATATACAAAAATCAACTCAAGATGAATTAATGGCAAAATGTGAAACCTAAAACTATATATTAAAAAAAAAAAACAACACTGAAGAAGAACCAGGAAATGTCATTCTGGACATAGGTCCTGACAAAGATTTCAGGATAAAGATGCCAAAAGCAATTGCAACAAAAACAAATATTGACATGTGGGACCTAATTAAACTAAAGAGCTTCTTCACAGCAAAAAAACTATCAACAGTGGACTGTAAACAAACAAACCACAAAATGGGAGAAAATATTTGCAAACTATTCATCTGACAAATGTCTAATATCCAGACTTTATAAGAAACTTAAATGAGCAAGCAAAAAACAACTCCATCACAAAGTCGGAAAAGCACATTAACACACACTTTTCAAAAAGAAGACAAACTCAAAATCATTTGAAAAAAAATGCTCAACATTATAATCATTAGAGAAAGGCAAATCAAAATTACAATGTGATACAATCATATCAGTCAGAATTACTATTATTAATAAATAATAGATGCTGATGAGGTTGCAGAGAAAAGAGAATGCTTACATGCTGTTGGTGGGAATGTAAATTAGTTCAGTCACTGTGGAAAGCAGTTTTGAGATTTCTCAAAGAACTTAAAACAGAACTACCATTCGACCCAGTAATCCCTTTTTGGGGTTTATATCCAAAGTAGAAATAAGTAATTTTACCATAAATACACATACGTACATATGTTAATTGCAGAAATATTCATAGTAGTAAAGACATGGAATTATCCTAAATGCCCATCAACAGCAAGCTGGATAGAAAATGTGACATATATATACCATGGAATACTATGCAGCCATAAAAAAGAATGAGATTGTTTTCTTGGCAGCAACATGGATAGATCTGGAGACCATTATCCTAATCGGAAAACTAAATACATGTTCTCACTTATAAGTGGGAGCTAAACTCTGAATACACATGGACACAGAAGAAAAACAATAGACACTGGGGCCTGCTTGAGTGTGGAGGCTTAAAAGAGGGTTTGAGGAGTGAAAAACTACCTATTGGGTACTAGTCTCAGTACCTGGGTGACAAAATATTCTGTACACCAAATCCCCATGGCATGCAATTTACCTATATGTGAATTTTTTTACGTGAAGTAGTTTTTCAGCCTCTCCCCCAACTCCTTCACACTCTAGTAGTCCACACTGTCTGTTGTTCCCATTTTTGTGTCTATGTGTATCCATGTGTACTCCCACTTATAAGTAAGAAAATGCAGTATTTGGTCTTCTGTTCTTGCATGAATTTGCTTAGGATAATGACCTCTAGCAGCATCCATGTTGCTGTAATGAATGTAATTCCACTTTATTTTACAGCTGTGTAGTATTCCATGGTATATATGTACCACATTTCCTTATCTGATTCACTGTCAATTGGCATTTAGGTTGATTTATGTCTTTGCTATTGTGAATAGTACTGCCATAAACTTATGAATACATGTGTCTTTTTGGTAGAATGATTTATTTTCCTCTGGGTATATACCCAATAATGAGATTGCTCAGTCAAATGGTAGTTCTGTTTTAAGTTTGTTGAGAAATCTTTACGCTGCTTTCCAAAGTGGTTGAGCTAATTTACATTCCCACCAACAGTGTATAAGCCTTCCCTTTTCTTCATGACCTTGCCAACATCTGCTATTTTTTGTATTTTTAATAGCCATTCTGACTTGGTGTGAGATACTAGCTCATTGTGGTTTGAATTTGCATCTCTCTGATGATTACTGTTGTTGAACATTTTTTTCATATGTTTGTTGGCCACTTGTATGTCTTCTTTTGAGAAGTATCTTTATGTCCTTTGCCCACTTTTTAATGGGGTTGTTTTTTGCTTGTTAATTTGTCTAAGTTTCTTACAGACTCCAGATAGTATACCTTCACTGGATGTATAGTTTGCTAACATTTTCTCCTATTCTGTAGGTTGTGTGTTTGCTTTGTTGATAGTTTCTTTTACTGTGCAGAAGCTATTTGGTTTAATTAGGTCCCAGTTGTTAATTTTTGTTTTCATTTCAATTGCTTTTGAGGTCTTACCATAAATTATTTGCTGAGGCTGATGTCCAGAATGGTATTTCTTTTTGTTTGTTTTTTGGGACAGAGTCTTGCTCTGTCACTCAGACTGGAGTGCAGTGGTGCAATCTCAACTCACTGCAACCTCCCCTCTTGGGTTTAAGTGATTCTTGTGCCTCAGCCTCTCGAGTAGCTGGGATTACAGGAGTGTGCCACCATGCCCTGCTAATTTTTGTATTTTTAGTAGAGACAGGGTTTTGCCATGTTGGCCAGGCTGGTCTTGAACTCCTGGCCTCAAGTGATCTGTCTGCCTTGGTCTTCCAGTGTTCTGGAATTACAGGTGTGAGTCACTGCACCCAGCTCAGTATGGTATTTATAAGATGTATTAGTCCATTCTTACATTACCATAAAGGAATACCTGGGACTGGGTAATTCATACAGAAAAAAGGTTTAATTGGCTCACAGTTCAGGCTGTACAGGGAGCATGATGCTGGCATCCACTGAGCTTCTGGAGGGACCTGAGTAAGCTTATATTCATGGGATAAGGTGACAGCATAGCAGGCATTCCTTACATGGCAGGACCAAGAGCAAGAAAGAGAGCGGACAGGGCAGTGCTACACACTTTTAAACAATCAGATGTCACAATAAAACACTCACTATCATGAGGACAGTGCCAATGGGGTGGTGCTGAACCATTCATGAGAAACATTTCCATGATCCAATCACCTCCATCCAAGCTCCACCTCCAACATTGGAGATGACAATTTGACATGAGATTTGGGCAGAGAAAAAAATATTCAAACCATATCACTAGGTTTTCTTCTAGGATTTTTACAGTTTGTGGTCTTACATTTAAATCTCTTATCCATCTTGAGTTACATTTTATATATGATGAAAAGTAGGGGGTCTGGTTGCATTCTTCTTCATATGGCTAGAGAATAAGTATTAAAAAGAGTAAGTATTAACTGATGTTCATGAGGATGCAGAGAAGAAGGAACTCTTATGCACTGTTGGTGGTGATATAAAGTAATATAACCTCTATGAAAAACAATATGAAGGTTTGTCAAAGAACTAAAGGTAGAACTACCATTCACTCCAACAATCACACTACTGGGCATCTGCCCAAAACAAAAGAAATCATTAAATAATAAAGATACCTGTACCTGTATGTTTACCACAGTACTATTTACTATTGCAAAGTTGTGGGATCAACCTAAATGTTCATTAATTGATGACAAAATAAAGAAAATTATATATATATATAAAACTGAATACCATTCAGCCATAAAAAGGTAAATTCATGTCATTTGCAGCAACATAGATGAAACAGAGGCCATTATATCAAGTGAAACAATCAGACAAAGAAAAATAAATACTGCATGTTCTCACTTATAAATGGAAGGTAAATACTGTGTACACATGGATGTAGCGTGTGAAATGATAAACAATGGAGACTTGGAAGAGTGTGGGAGTGGGAGGAGGGTCAATGATGATAAATTCCTTGATGGGTACAATATACATTATTATATACAATATACAATATACATTATTCTGATGATAGATACCCTAAAAGTCCTGACTTCACCACTACGCAATCTATGCATGTAACAAATTTACACTTGTACTCCATAAATTTATACAAAAAAGAGAATAATTTATATCTGTACACAAACCTTTTAACATGTTAGTTTAAGTTTGAAATTATAATTATTTATTTAATTAAATATAATGGAAACCAGTGAGATCTAACTGTAAAATAGAAGTTCTTTTTCTTTTTTGAAATAAATTTATTTATTATACTTTAAGTCCTGGGGTATATGTGCAGATAGTGCAGGTTTGTTACATAGGTATACACGTGCCATGGTGGTGGTTTACTGCATTCATCACCCCGTCATCTACATTACAGAGGTTTTTTTCTCATAGGAAAGCTCAGTTAAAAGCTGCAGAAAGACACAATGTGAGTGTCTTTTAAAAATGGAAGCTTCTCGCCCCTTCCCACATGCTTTGCCCTAGGCATCTCTCTTCCATCTGTCTGGCTGTTCGTCCCTATCCTTTATAAAATCCTTAATAATAAACAGGTAAATGTAAATAAAGAAATTTCCCTGAGTTCTAAAGCCACTCTAGAAAATTCCAGCCTGAGGAGGTGGTTGTGGTAACCCTAATTTATAGAAGCACAGGCCATAACTTGGGGTTTACGATTGGCATTTGAAGTGGGAAGCAGTCTTATAGGATTAAGCTTTCAACCTGTGGAGTGTGATGCTATGCTATTTCAAAGTAGACAGTGTCAGTATCAAATGCTGAATTACAGGACACAGAGCTGGTGTTCACTGCAGAATTGCTGATGGGGAGAAATCTCCACATATTTTGGTGATCAGATGTGAAGTGTTGTGTTCAGCGAGTCTGTGATAGTAGAAAAAAAAAACATTGCCTTTGGTTTTTGTGTATCTTTTGCCCATGATATATTGCAGTTGAATTTGTATTTTCTTTACATGTTTTTCAATTTTTATATTTTTATAATAAATGTTTATATTTTGAAAGGTTATCTAAAAACCCTTGCATATAAAATAGAAGAGTAAAAGTAGTTTAGATTACAGGGTAATTACTTAGTGTTCACCTCAAAAACCTATTATTCTGACAGTTGCAATATTAACCTATATTTGAAATTAGTATCCTGTTCTGGTGTTACTACTTTGATAATCCTGCAAGTTTTTGGTTTGTTGTTTTGTTCCTTTGCCTGGAGGGAATAGCTGCCTGGAGTTCCTTTCTGTTGCTCATATGATGTATTATGGATTCTAGAGAATTTTATGTCTTCTTGTAAGTATGGCAAAAATTGCCTGCTTGTTGTAAATATCAATTTATTGGGAGATAGTCATAGTGTTGGGTTTAGGGACTGTCTGTAAATCCACTCCTTCCTCTTTTGCCTGAAGATATTCTCTCTATGAAGGAATCGATTTCTATACCTCCATTACACGTGCCCGATTTGAAGAATTGAATGCTGATCTGTTCCGTGGAACCCTGGACCCTGTAGAGAAGGCCCTTCGAGATGCCAAACTAGACAAGTCACAGATTCATGATATTGTCCTGGTTGGTGGTTCTACTTGCATTCCCAAGGTTCAGAAGCTTCTCCAAGACTTTTTCAATGGAAAAGAACTGAATAAGAGCATCAACCCTGATGAAGCTGTTGCTTATGGTGCAGCTGTCCAGGCCACCATCCTCTCTGGAGACAAGTTTGAAAATGTTCAAGATTTGCTGCTCTTGGATGTCACTGTTCTTTCCCTTGGTATTGAAACTGCTGTTGGAGTCATGACTGTCCTCATCAAGCATAATACTACCATTCCTACCAAGCAGACACAGACCTTCACTACCTATTCCGACAACCAGCCTGGTGTGCTTATTTAGGTTTATGAAGGTGAGCGTGCCATGACCAAGGATAACAACCTGATTGGCAAGTTTGAACTCACAGGCATACTTCCTGCACCCCAAGGTGTTCCTCAGATTGAAGTCACTTTTGACATTGATGCCAATGGCATCCTCAATGTGTCTGCTGTGGACAAGAGTACAGGAAAAGAGAACAAGATTACTATCACTAATGATAGTACTGTAGCAATGATAATGCTGTAGCAAAGTACCACAGACTAGGTGGCTTAGACAACAGAAATGTATTTCCTCATTGTACTAGAAGCTAGAAATCCAAGATAAAAATATCATCAGGATTGGTTTCTTCTGAGACCTCTCTCCTTGGCTTGTAGATGACTGTATTCTCTCTCTATTTTCACATGATGTTTCCTCTATTTTTGTCCATGTTACAATTCCCTCTTCCACCAGTCACATTGGGTTAGTATCTATCCTTATGACCTCATTATCAGTATACTTTAATTGCCTTTTAAAAGAACCTTTTTTTTTTTTTTTTTTTGAGATGGAGTCTCACTCTGTCACCCAGGCTGGAGTACAGTGGTGTGATCTTGGGTCACTGTACCGTCCACCTCCCGGGTTCAAGTGATTCTCCTGCCTCAGCTTCCTGAGTAGCTGGGATTACAGGTGTGCACAACCACACTTGACAAATGTTTATATTTCAGTAGAGATGGGATTATACCATGTTGGTCAGGCTGGACTTGAACTCCTGACCTCGTGATTCACCAGCCTCGGCCTCCCAAAGTGCTGGGATTATAGGCATGAGCCATTGCGCCTGGCCAAAGATCCTTTCTCCAAATAGAGTTACATTCTGAGGTACCGGGGGTTAAGACTTCAATATAGGAATTTGAGGAAACATAATTTTGTCCACAATAAAAAGAAAAAAACATTTGACCACATCAGTGAATAATGAAAAAAAATAGAAAGAAATTCAACATTAGTTCATGGCAAATCTTTTAGCAAACTAAGATTAGAAGGGGACTTTTATTTCTTAAAGTCTACCACAAATATCTTCAAATGTGAAATGGTAGAAGAATTTCCATTAAAGTTAAGGAAAACACATAAATATGCCATCACTTCTATTGTTCAAAACTGTACTAAAACACAAAGCCAGAACCATGGACATAAAAATAAATAAGGGGTATTAATATTGAAAAGAAGGAGATACTTTTAGGAGACTGTCTTCGTCAATTCAGGCTTCTTCTTTTTTTTTTTTTTTTTTTTTTTTTTGAGATGGAGTCTCACTCTGTCATTCAGGCTGGAGTGCAGTGGCACAATCCCAGCTCACTGCAACCTCCGCCTCTTGGTTTCAAGTGATTCTCCTGCCTCAGCTTCCTAATTGGGACTACAGGCATGTGCCACCACGCCCAGCTATTTTTTTGTATTTTTAGTAGAGACGGGGTTTCATGGTATTAGCTAGGATGGTCTCGATTCCTGACCTCATGATCCACCTGCCTCAGCCTCCCAAAGTGCTGGGATTACAGGTGTAAGCCACCTTGCCTGGCTGTATTCAGGCTTCTATAACAAAATATCATGAACAGGATAGCTTCGAAACAATAGAAATTTATTCTTCAAGTTCTGGAGGCTGGAAAGTCCAAGATTACAATACTGGCAGATTTTGTGTCTGGTGTGGGCCTGCTTTCTGATTCATAGATGGCAACTTCTTGCTGTGTTCTCGCATGGTAGAAGGAACTAGTTAGCTCTGTGGGGCCTATTTTATAAGGGCACTACTCCCAATCATGAGGATTTCACCCTTATGACCTAGTTACGTCCCAAAGGTCCCACCTCCAAATACCATCACCTTGAGTGTTAGAAATTCAACATATTAATGTTGGAGGGACACAGACATTCAGATAATAGCAGTGAGAATATAATTATCTATGTGGAAAGTTCTAAAAACTCAGCACATGGGCCAGGCGTGGTCACTAACAGCTGTAATCCCAGCACTTGGGGAGGCCGAGGAGGGCGGATCACGAGGTCAGGAGTGTGAGACCAGCCTGGCCAATATAGTAAAACCCCATCTCTACTAAAAAAAAAAAAAAAAAAAAAAAATTAGCCAGGCATGGTGGCAGGTGCCTGTAGTCCTAGCTACTTGGGAGGCTGAGGCAGGAGAATTGCTTGAACCTGGGGTGGGGGAGGTTGCAGTGAGCTGAGATCACACCAGTGCACTCCAGCCTGGGCGACAGAGCGAGACTCCATTTAAAAAAAAAAAAGTCAGCACATGGAATATTTAAACGAATAAGAAACCTCAGAAAGATAACATGTGATCACTATAGCAAAATCAAGAGCCTTGCCACACAAAAGCAGTAACTAATTAGAACATGTAAGAGAAAATACGTCTCATAACACCAACAAAATCCAAAATTTACCTTAAAAGAATTTTCACAAAAATGTGTAAGATCTTTGTGGAGGCCACTATAAAAGTTTACTGGTAGGTCCAGGTAAAACAAGTCTAAAATAAACAGAGCAGTATATGATGTTCATTGATGGGGCACACATCCTTGTAAAGATCTTCATTCTTATTTACCAACTTAGTGCCTTATTTGTAGTTTCCAAGAGGACAATCAAACTTTGATTGCTATCTTCTGCTCCCAAAGTCAAGCCTGCAAAGCCAGAGAAGAGTAAATTAAAAAGAAACACTGGCAATAATTTCTAAACAGCAAATTATGAGAAAACCCTCGGGGAGATTGAGAATTGCATTGAACTGGTACTTGTGCTTGGAATGAGGGAGTGGTCAACCCGGTTGAAGTTGGGTGAGGGTCTGTAGTTGGCAATGGAGGGCTAATGACAGGATAGATAGGAACAGCGTTTTAAAAGTTCTGCTCCTGCTTTAGTGTATAAATCTGAGGGAGCCCTTCAGACCACAGAAGCCAGTAGTCGTGCAATCGTATTAGGAGAGCAGAAAAGATGAGATTCTTTGAGGCAATATGACTCTGAAGTCTGTGTTAACAACCACCTGAAAGCACCATAGTGAATGAGGGCTGGTCTTTAAAATATGTGTATTATTTCAATACATATAAAGAACAGACTACAAATGGAATAGTGCATATCATAATCAATCACATAGTAAGGTTAGGCACTATTTCATGACATATATATGATTTACACATACAGCTGGTAGAGAGGTATATTTTTCTCACTATGAATGAAGGTTATAAAAATGGAAATCACTGCACTGAACCATACAATGTTACATAAGCTCAAAAAAAGCAGGACCTCCTAAATCACCCTGCTCAGCTTCTTCTGTGTAGAAAAATATCTTTTAGAACAAAAAGTTTCTAAACTTGAAATCTGGCCGGTGAAGAGACCCTATGGGAAGATGGACTTTTTCTCTGTCATGGGTGCTGCTACTTCCCCACCTAGGATCTGTAACAAGGAACTACGAAACCATTCACTGCCAGAGTTGCAAGTTGATCAAATGCTCAGATATGTTAGGGAGGAATAATTGTCCAAGAAGTACTTAATCAAGAAGCCAGGGTACATGATTGAGGACCTCAAAATTGAAGACTGAAGGGCCTATACATTTCAGAAAAATGGGCAACCCACACATTCCTACTTCGCTTCCGATAGCAGTTTGGGAGACTCTAGGCTGAGAAGCCCCTCTCATTTTCCATTTGGGGTCTCGGGGTGGTGGAGGTCTTGGTCTGAGAGTGACAGACACAGATCAGCAGAGACGGACTTGAGGTCCTTACAGCTGTGAACAATGAGGACCTATGGGAGGACTTACGGGATCTCCCATTCATTACAGAATAACTGGGCCCCAATCCCACACTACTCCTCTGATTAGTTCTGGGAGGTCCCAGGGCATGGTCACTGGAATGGTTGGGAGAGGGAAGGGGCCAGGCCTTTGGTGAACATTAAGATGGGGGCCCTGACGGAGGTCTGAATAGACCTCGCCCAAGAAGAAAGAGGTCCCACAGAATACAGCACCCCACCTGCTTTCAGCCCTGGGAGGCCCTAGAGCATGATGGCTGGATGTGGAGTCCCCTGATTTCTGACTGGGGTGTTAAAGAGAGATGAAGACCTTGCTCAGAGGGGCCTGGCTTCAGATCAGGAGAGGGAAGGTGATCTAGGCACTGCCAGGCATCACAGGGAAGGCAGAAGGGAGCTCCCTCCATAGAGAGAGGTGGACTCACAGAAAGCCACATATGCTATCTGACTGGGGAAGTTCCAGGCAGGACAATCATACAGAAGGCCCCCTCCCTCACTTCCTCTTATGAGGCTGTCGGGGAAATGGGGGCTTTGGCCTGAACGATACGTCATCAGGTAAGCAAAAAAAAAGAGGATGCAGTCCCTGTTAGGATTAAATATAAATACCTGAGGGCTAACAGGAATATGTGGGGTGCAAAGCAGGAAGCATCATGTATGATGATGTTGAGAGCATCTCCACAGCCAAGATGGTGTTTAGGCCTGGAGATGAGACATTCATACATCCATAATGACACATTCGGTGCCACTTTTCCTTGGGATTTCTGAAGTTACATGAGCAGTTGTGGCACATTAGATTTCTTTCACAGAGCCAGAAAGCCCAGGCATGGGGCAGACTCCACATTTTGAATAATTGAATGTGATCCTCCAGTATTTTAATTGATTCACTCATTCTCTCATTTATTCATCCATCCAGAAAAATTTTATTGAATATATGATGAGTTAATAACACCAAGTAAACAAAGCAAAATAAAATGACAAGGCACTTAATTCAGGCTGTGGGTGAGAGAAGGTGAGGAGGAGATGGACTCATGAGAATCTGGGGAAAATTCTGTGCAATAGTTGTGGACAGTGTATAGTGATTCTGAGTTCTGAAGGTTGCTGAGTAAGTAAAAGCTGTTCCACCTGGCTAAGACTGAGCATAGAGGAAGAACAGTTGGTGGGGACTTGACTTAGGAGTAGAAGTGAGGAAGGGAGTGAGGGCTGAGGTCAGTATGGGCTAAGTTGTGTGGACTGTCCAGGTGAAGCTGTCTAATGGTCAGTAGGAACCATGGTTGGACTATAAGAAGAGGGGTCCTGGTGGCTAGGCCGGGCTGCATCAGCAGAGGTCATTTGAAGCCATAGGTTTAGGGAAAATCTAGTGTTATATAGAAAGTGGTTTACATGCTATAGGATGTCAATCCCTCTCAGGCAAACACAGTTGGCAGCCAAAATCACACAAAATTTAATAAATCCAGGGAAGATTTTAAAGGGAGAAAGTACTCACTCAGAATTCACCAGAT